AAATATGTCTAATAATCATTTTTGACCGCCTTAATTGCAATTTTTTCCACTTTTTGCACCGTATCTTAGAAACATCTGGTCCTGCTTTTGCCAAAAATGGATCAGCACGTCTCCCTAACAATAGGAATCAAATGTTTTTGAAATCATTAATTTTTGAATTCTGTCAATAGAAATCAAATGTTTTTTGAATCATTCAAATCGGTTGATTCGTGCGCCCAAAAAAGTCGACAAATATTGTAATCCAAACACACGTACACACATACATCCATTTTTCTAAAGTATATCAAAAAGTTTGAAACGTAAAAATATACAGAAATTTCATTTACTATTTTTTGCAATTACTATAACTTAGAAGTGTATTTTTAAAATTTCAAATTCATTTTTATCGATAATTATTAGCAAATCTCAAAATACTTGGTGTAATAAATACTTGAGAGGCTTGCTAACTCGTGCAGCAGCATCATTCGTGTGAAAAACACTCTCGTAGTAAAACAGGTAGTACTGTTAATGACAATAATCAAATAAATGATAAGTTAGACAGGATAACAATCATTATGAACTTAATTTACTATGATTTACTACAAACAGTTTTCCTATCTTAAGAAGGTACTTATATATTGTTAATTTCCCTCTCATGATATTGTAGCCTTTAAAAAGTTTAATGTATAAAGTTTTCAATTTTAAAATTTTATGTTTTAAGATTTCACAGAACAAAGTTCTAAGTTTAGTGAAAATATTAGAATATATTTTCAAGTCTATATATATATCTGATACGCATATATGAAATAGGTAGTTTTGGCTGCAATATGGCCTTTTTTTCTACAATATGTAAACTAAGATTCAAACCATACATACACTCCGTTCACCTGAGTTGAATTGAAACCAATTCCGATCCTAAATGCTACTGCTTGGGTGGAGCGACTAAGGCGGATGATGCTGAATACGTCATTATGAAATGCAAAAAATGAAAAAGGATAGGCAAGAACTATAGAGGGAGATAGTAAAGCAAAAAATCTCCCTTCCAACCAATTTTATAACAATATTGACAAAGAAAAGGACATATGATACACTATATAATTATATACAATCAAATAAAATATAAGTTTAAAGATATCTTAAAAATGTGTATGACTGAGTACGTGTATATTAAGTAAACAAATAAACAATAGAGAATAATATGGAAATTCTTGCATTTGTTCCGAAACTGTGGATATAATTACATTGTTTTTAATATTTATTTTCTTTCTCTCTGATATTGAGAAATGCATAGTTGGGATAAAAATGTGATTCTCTAGTAAACTTTGTGAAGCTCATTTTCCGATATTGCCAATAAAATTAAATAATATATAGTTTCTCGTAGTATAAAACAAATAAGTTTCTGATTGACCATCTCTACTCGCTGATACAGTTCTATCATACATCATCAACAATGCTTAACAAAAAGCTCATGTTTCCGTTGTTACAGTACTAATCTACAAAAACGGGCAATCCCGTTTTTAAATTATTTTTTCATGGTCATAAATGTAAGAAAAATATTTTAGAGTTATTATTCAAAACATTATTCACGCTCTTCACCTGAGGTATTTCTAATTAGGCCCGTGACGAACTAGAAGATTAGCGAACCGCTAAATGTTATTTTGATAATAAAATTCATCATTCATTGTATGTAATCGACATACATACTATGATACTATGCATATATTAATTGAATAACTATTGTGCGTAAAAACACAGAAAAATTATACAGAACATGATTTATGTCAGAATGTGCTAATTAATTTTATTACATTTATTAGAATATAGTGCTAATTATTTCATTTTAACTTGAGCAGTTTTTAATGCTGATAAATAGCAAATAATTTCACGAGAACTAATAATAGCAGTATACAGGGTGTCCCAGAACTTGACGACAAGACAAAACGGAATGATAGTATTGACCTTAACTGTCTTAAAAAAATTAGAAAACAAAATTATCTCAAGTTGTTTGGAAATTACAAGCTTTTAAGTGCAACCTAGATCTTTGGTAAAATAATGACCAATATGCAGAATTTGTGGTTAATTTTTACTAATTTTTTCATTTAACTTTGGAACCATAATCGTGAATAACATTTCTAGAAGCACAATCAAAAACAGTAACAAAATGCATCGAGTTTTCAAGAATCAATACTTTATGTTAAACTATGATTTTAAAATTTCCAAATTTCCAATGTAAGTAAAAAATTACTAGCAAAAATCATGTCATTTGAGACTAATTTTTTTTAATCAAAACTTTCATAATAAAAATAAAACTTTTAAGTAATTTAGTAATCCTGATTAAACACGTCAATTTTGATGAAACTTGCCAACACATTTCAGTATT